GATAAAAAGAAACAAACTTTACTAACTCACAGGGAAAATCTCAACATTTTAAGGCGTTTTTGCTCAAAATCTGTATTTTTTGTTGCTACTGCTCAAAGAAATGCTTCAAAATTTAGTTTTATGATTATATTTCAGACAGTTCATTCAAATGATACATTAATAAGGCTTTTATTCATTATATTTTGACAAAATGCAATTTTTGCTAACATTTTAGTCAAAACACTATATTTGCCTTTTTCTCCTTATACCACTTTTGGACTTAATCCTYGTTTCGATGTGATGGGTCACATTTTTTTCTTTTTGATTTTTTTTTCTACCTGGAATACCGAGATGCATCAGGAAAAGACAACAAACAAACAAAATGAAGTCAAGTGTTGAAGGATGAATAGTAATGGAGGAAGAGTAACACCGAATAATACAAGTATAATATGGAAACATAATGGAATAAAGTATTCTTCACAGTATTATGGAAAAGTTAAGAGTTCCTTCACTTTGTCCCCATGTGCTTCCTGTTAAAGGTTTCAGCTGTCACAGCTCTTATCTGGTTCGCCCGTGTTACCTTGAGTTTGACAAGTCATCGCTTGCCACAGTTTTTTGTGTGTGTGTGTGATTAGAGCTTTGCTGTTATCTACATTTCAAAGAGCTGCCAACATTTGAGAGATAACTCACCCTGCATAATCCCTGTCAATGGCTCTCGCAGCACCATCTCACCACCGAGTGCCTCAGTGCTGCACTCAGACACTGGTATTTAGTCTAATCATTGCCATTGCATATTGTATATATTATACATCATGTTTTAGCTTTTAGGTTCTCCAGAATTGAAGAATAATTACAAGATCTTGGCTGAGAGGAGCTGCCTATCATGTTGCTCTTTGGTGAGAGTTTTATTTTGGAGTTGAAGGCTGCATTTACCTGAGTAGTGCTGCCTGAGAGCAGATCCACTGTTTGCAGTACAGACTTAGTCTCAAATGTCTTTTTTTTTTCAGTTCTTCATGTCCTCCCCTGTGAAGAGTGAATATTTAATAAGATGAATTATTATATATGTTTGAACAAAATAATATAAAAGCATGGTTAATTTATAAATCATTTACGTTTTCAATGACAGCTACTCCATGCTTTTTTGAAAAAAAAAAAAAGACAAATCATGTCAAACACAAACACATTCATCCGTTTATTTTATTTTTTTTATTTACCTACTTTTCTATTCAGGGTCACTGGGCGAGCTGGTTCCAGCAGTCACTGGGTGAGATGTGGAGGACATTCTGGACAGATCACAAGTTCACCACCAGTTCACATAGAGACAAACGAGACAAGTTCTCTCTTACAAAGTGACAATTTAGAATTAACAATTAACAATGTGCATGATTTGAGAAAACTAGACAAACTTGTTTTGTCCCTATTAAGACTGAAAACTATAAAAATGCTGTGGAAATAACAGCATAATTGTCATTTAYAATTTATTTCTTGAGGTCTGTTGACATATTGTTTATGAACAAGAACTGATTGCAGATTTCTTATAGATTTGACTCTTGTCTCCTGTGATGTTATCATGCCAAGATATAATTGGTTTTCCAAAGTCTTTTGATTAAAAATAAGATAAATAAATATTGTTGAGTAGTCTTTATGTTTTCCTTTATTTGTCTGTTTGTTTGTTTTTCTTTTGTTAGTTGAATCAAAAAAATTAAACAAAACTACTGAACATTTTGTAAGCTATTTTTGTCGTCTCTGTTTTGGAGGAGGTGGGGAGAAGTGCATCATTTCATGGATGTCAGTGAAACGGTTTAGCCGAAGTGTCAAAGAGGTGACTATTTGCATCCTATTTCTGTCCATTCCGCATACGCATCAAACGGGAAGCATTTCAAGAAATCTCTGTAAAATGAATTTGATTCATGTCTTTTTTTAGTTGGGAATGTTACATTTGTCACGACCCTAAACTCGTCCAATATTCCATTTTTTTCCCCCATCAACCTCTATTTAAATATTTCTTTCATTTGTGTGTATGTGTGAGTCTGTTTCGCCTTCCAAAGGGGTGACGCATTGTGAGCCATAAGGATACAGCTGTTAAATATTCATGATTTCTCACAGGAATACCTAATTAAGTGATGCTCCTCTGAATTTCATTCAGTCATGTGCTTGGACAGAAGGTAGGTAGGCACTGGCCCCTACGGGCWACCATCTGTAAAGCAAAGCTGCAAAAATAAAAAATTAAATAAAAAAATAAAAGCCTACTGTATGTTTTCTGTTTCTGTAAGGGGGTGGGGTGTAAGGGGGGGGGGGGGGGGCGCAGAGGAGTCCAACTCTCCTGTGTGATGCAAGTCTGAATACAAATTGGTCTGTGCAAAACGCGCTGCAAATTATGAGTGACTCAGGGGGAACAAGCTGCAGGTCATGTGTGAACGCACTATAGCTGCGCAGGCACGCGCTCACACAAAACACGAGCTCCTAATGAGAGAAGCATGCAACAGCAGACACAAACAAGCAGTCACACCTGTGTGTGTTTTTTTAAACACCTGCTCAGTGTACCAGCTGCTGAAAAATGACCTCTTGTTTGATCGTTTAAGTTTATTCGGGCTCCTGTCAAAAGATGAGCTCCAGAAATGTACTAGTCTCATTGGCTGTAGTGAGTGCTCTGACCGTGGGTGACACGGAGGGGTGGGTGGTGGGGGGGAGGCGGGGTGCGCTCGGTTCTGCTCAACGCAGGACGCAGGAGACAAGTCGCTCTCCAAGGTGCTGAAAGTCGGAGCGCTCCGTCTCTCGCCTCTCGGCGATGAACCTCGACTGCAGAATCCAGTGACGACCTGCTTCAAACGTGCCTGCTAAAAAAATCCACACTTTTTTTTTCCATTTCTGGATTTTTTTTCTTTTCTTTTCCCTTTTTTTTTTTTTACTTGGATGTACACGCGCATATGTGCAATGAACCCGACATTTACCTGCATCATCTGGAAATACCAAACGGACTCTGGATTCTAGGGGGGGGACGCTACAGATGATTTGTCTTGCAGTCTTTCCAGCCTTCCTTTCCCCCCCTGTCTGCGCCGCGTGCTGCCGAACTGCAACATTGTCTCGGAAAGGTAAGTCGGATGAGGATGATCACGGAGAAGACCTACTTTTTCCGTGGATGTCATTTTTCTTGAGCTGGAAGGAGCGAAGCAGGGGGCTGCTCGTTTATTGCCTTTAAGCCCATAATCCAGGACGCAAAGTGGAGGGGGGGATACAATATCCTTTGGAGCCTGGTGAATTTATCGCGTGGATTGAGGGAAGTTYGCAACGACCAAGGCGACTATCTGATCTGTTCCAGCCCTCTGCATGCTGGCTTTACACTGAGAGGATATCACCCAATTTCACCGCGGTGAGTTTGCCTTATCTCTTAAATTCATCATCTCTCCAAAACATCACCTTTAAATCTCCAAATAAAAATAAGATTTCAAGCCTTTTTTGCAGCCTCTCCTATAGGGGGTTTGTTGGTGTGGGTTCCCATGCATGCGGGGTTAAACAAATGCGCATTTGCCATTTTTTCCCGTGCATTTGCATGTTAGAGGGCTGATTTATTGCTGCAGATAAACACAATGCATCCAAAATATTTGGTTTAATCCCTCTTTTCAATAAAAGGTGACACATTTAGCTACTAGAGCTACCTGTTGTCTTTGGTCCGCCTCATAAAGTTTTCCAATGCAGCATACACTGAGAGAAAATAAACTGCATCCCCTCCAATAGTTACTGTTCAGATCCTTGCTGTTTTGCATGTTGCACTCCCACTATGCATATTAAATGACATGCATGTTACATAAACCTGTTGAGGAGGCAAAGCTGCAGAATCATGAACTTGTTGCAGGTAGAAAAAAAAGTCAATTTTAAGGTGAGAATACGCTAAACATCTGCAGTGGAATTATCCTCCATGGTGTCATAATCTGTTTCCCCTCCTATACTGCAGACCATACATGATGATGATGATGGTGATGATGGGGGTGCTGATAATGAAGAGCTGGACGGATCGGCAGAGGATACCCGGAGCTTAGGGAGGGGGGAAAATGTCATCCACGCGTTCGTGTTGAATGTGGATGTCGTGATGCCGCGGGGAAGGATGCGCCCTCACCTCTCGGCCGCCTCCGTCCTCCTCCTCCTGGCCCTGATGAGCGTGGCGTCTGCGGCCACCGTGGGGAACCCGGAGGATTACACCGCGGACGAGGCGGAGCGCACCGCCGCCGACAACATGGTCTTCGACGACTACCGGGGCAAAGGCTGCGTGGACGACAGCGGCTTCGTGTACAAACTGGGGGAGCGCTTCTACCCGGGACACTCGAACTGCCCGTGCGTGTGCACGGAGGACGGGCCCGTGTGCGACCAGCCCGAGTGCCCGAAACTGCACCCCAAGTGCACCAAAGTGGAGCACAATGGATGCTGCCCCGAGTGCAAAGAGGTGAAAAACTTTTGCGAGTACCGAGGGAAAACGTATAAAATACTGGAAGAATTCAAGGTAAGACATTTGAAGATTCACATCCAAATGATTTAAAGACAGATCTGTAAACTCAAGGCATAAATCCAGGATTTGAGGAGCTCTTGTCTGTTTTTAAGTTGCAGTTATTCTGATGCAAAAGTCCTAACATGTCTTGAAGGAATGAATATCTTCTGCTGCCTTTCATGCCAGAGTTTTGAACTGAAATCATCTCATATTTTAGTCAAATTTTGTAAATGATCTCATGCATAGATGTCCTAAAATGTGTTGGCGCTCAAATATTATCACAGGAATTACTATCAGCTACTCCCAGTATCAGTATCTGCAAATTGGTTAAACTAGACCCATTTTTGTGAATGAATTAGCAGCCCTTTAACTGAGTTTACTCAAAATGAATTGCAGGCAGTTCATAGAGTTCCACACCAAAAATATTGCCCATTGAAAGAAAAAAATAAACCCATAGACCTTTAATTTGCTTATGATAATCCTTTTTGAACATCATCAAATCACAGTCACAATATGGCAGGGCCATGGCATAGGCAGTGTAGGCAAATGCTAAGGGCTCTGTCCATCTAGAGGACACCACAAATGGGGCACAGAAAAAAATTACTTTTTTATCACAGTATAGTTTCTTTAGTCTGTAGAATAATCACTGGATACTTTATTATTCTGTGGGTTCTCAGCCTGCTTTACATGAGGTGTTGTATGGTGCAAAGGACATTTTGTGGAAAAAAAATATCATACGGTGCAGTCAAAACTAACCCATGGTGCTCGATGTGTAAATAGAAAACTAAATGGATAATGTACATTTTAGTTATGATCTCAAATAAGTTCAGGTTTTCCGTGTTCTGCCTTCAAAAAATACTGATTTTATGTTGTTTTACTAATCCCACGAATTTACTAAAATGTTCTTCAAATGGCTGGACAATGCATAGATTTGAGTAGATATTTGACAAAATTTACTAGAGTATACCCCTGGAACCCACCCCGCTTCACTTCACAAATTCTTGCTAACGTGATGTTTGCCAACCTGAGATCAAATGTTGGCAGGTGTGAGGTAAAATTCTATTACTCTGTTTCAAATGAATAACATTATTAACTTATTTGATTAAAAAATAATAATATCAAAGACAAAACAATTAAATTTGGTAAGTGAATAAATGTAAATTGGCAGTGAGATTTAGAAATTTGCACAGAGGGAGGGGACCACCTGATGCAAAATTGGCTATAGGGCCAACCCTGTGTCATGGTAATGCCCACAGCTGTGTGTGTGTGTGTGTGTGTGTGTGTGTGTGTGTGTGTGTGTGTG